TATCAAGATGTGATCGAATTAAGATAAAATAAGAACACCCACCTGGGTCAAGCTGCAAATTGCTGTAGGACACAGCTAACGACAGATCACTGGGTCCATAGTTCAATGTTAATCCCCCAACCAGGGCCAATTTCGTCCTCTCGGAACAATCTACTCCAAGGTTATCTTGCAAGTATTCCTGACGAGATCGACCCACCCAAGATGTCAATTAATATGAATTCAAATTCCATAAGATTCAAGCAACCTCACTCCCCAGCTGAAGTAAAAAACACACCCAAAAATCCACTGATCCCTCCAACATAGGAAAAAAAAAAGCCACTGATTAGCTGGGTTGCCACCTTTTAATTTGCATCTTCCGGAAAATCCCTTCAATTCAAAGATAAAGATACCCGCTACTAAGATTGATCAAGGTGGGGCCAAAAGATCACGTTTTTTTTTTTCTGAAAGAGTTGAAATTAAATTTGGCCACTTCAGTAATGGGAACTTTTTTGGAAATTTCAATCAATGAAGGATCAGCCACTGCCCAGCCTTCTACCACCGAAGGAAGGATCCCATCCGCGAAAAAAAAAACCTGAGTCAAGGCTTCGACCTTCACAGGAAATGTCAAAGGGAAGTTGTTCTCCCAAGAAACAGCTGAGCTTCTATCAAGGACACTTGCTGACGCTACTGAATCTGCTGCAGCCACCAGTGCACGAAAGCGGCTAACTCTAAACTCAACTCCAGCAGCAGATAACTCGACCACAACCTGGCCTTGTTTGCATTGGGGCCGGGGTCGAGAGAGAAAGAGAGAGAGATTGGGATGGACGCAGCAACGGGGGCCACAGTGGTGGAGTACGACGGTGGGTATGGCAGCTATAGAAGCGCCATAGAGATTTTGCTTTTGCAAGCAAGCAGTTGGTTTCCATAGAGATTGCTGGGAAGTTCCAATTCTAAGCTCAGGTAGCAACTCTGGCATGGATCTTATCGATGGAATTCATGACTCAAAACACCAATCTCAATTGACAAGGGAAACGGTGGAAATATTCTTAAGAACTTGTGCCTGTACATGCATAAACGATGACTATAAATTTCAATATTTCCTGGGAGCATGATGGATAACAAAATCGGAAGAAGGCATGGTTAACGTGGCTTATCATATAAACCGACTAAAGAGGGGTGAAAACCACATAAGTTAGCAGCTTGGACCTAATGGCAGAAGTCAATTTCATAGTTGTTTTAAGGGAAAAATTCAGTCAACCTACCTTTGGAAATAATCAACTTCAAAAGGTTACTAGATGAGGTACCAGTACATGCGAGTCAGATACTTCCTTTAATTACCAGCAATGCCCCATACACTCTAAGCAAAAAGGAAGTATATAACCCTTAATTACATGAGTCCCTCCCTCGACATAAAACACAAAATGAGTGAGAACCAATCTGGAATCATGCTTAAAACGTGTAATGTCATAAGATTTTCCTACTCTGAATTGCCCGAACCAGCTATTGCTGCTTCCAATTTTAGCACCGAGATGGCGGGGATCGATTTTGGAAAACTCTGCACACAATTTCCAACATCAGAACAAACAACAGGTACTTGTGACAGTTTTAAGAGACTCATTGAAAAAGGTAGCCTTCCAAGGCTAATTCAATGAGATACTTTGTTCATCTCCGGCACAAACAGCACGGCATCCTCAACATACCCAAACCCGCTAACGGGTGACCATAACATCGCATCATAATTTATAAAAGAGGAGTAATGTATCTCTGATTTCAAAAAGGCCATCCTCCCACATAAGGGTGCTGAAGCGACATAGAACTCACTAAAAGGGGAGATCAATTCAAGTTCTTACTACTATGAGAACCTATTGCATCCTCTTTGTCAGCAAAACTATGCCCCATTAGATCAATTTCAGCAAAACTAATCATCAACTCAACAGACAATGATATGCTTTGAGGGATATAATGCTAGCTAGAAAATTAAGGTCCTCCAATTAAGTTCATCTTTTAATGGAAGTTTCCAAGCAAGCTAAGTATACAGACTCATATCACCAACAGCTGCAAAAAGATTTAAACAGACAATGATGATATGCTTATGTTAATTTCAGCACTGCTGAATGCTGAGGTAGAATGAACTCCATGAGATTGGGGCGGAGTGAAAAATGGTACACTCTTTTCTTCTCGGGGTGGAAAGCGAACTCCCGCAGTCTGTCAATGGTCATAGAGGAATCATATTAAGAAAAAGCAACATAGGATCGTACTAGAAGTCTAGACAGCAGAAAGATCTCTAAGGCTACCTTCAACTCATTGTATGCAGAATAGTATTGAGGATACCTTCCCCTTGGTCCCCCTACAGCTTCTCACCACGTATCTATCAAGGTCAGTAACTTCTCCATCATATTAAAATCTGGCTGCACAGAGCATGTAGAAACAGCAAATGACAATCTAAAAAATGAACAGATTCAGAATAAAAGTCAATCATGGGGTACAGAGTAGGCATCTTTTTAAACACCATTCTAACCATTTCCTGTAGGATAACAGACTCAATAATATTCTGAAATACGCTATTGCCACAGTTTTTGCTAAGAGTCTCCAACACCTACTTGAAATTGATAACCAAATATTTTAGCCAAGTGATAGCCGCCTCTTGTAGCCATTTAGAAGAAAGAAAAGAAGATAGCAACTGGATCCAGAACTATGCACATATAAGAAAGCAGAGCATGATACTGACATAGGGGGTCGGAAGCTGTATTTTTGGATCTTTATTCCCCAGGCGCTTCTTCTTAAGGATCTTCATCACCTCCTTTACCTTCCTACAGAAGTTAAACCAATTCAGCGACTAAAACCAATGTCTTTGACGCAGAAATAACATGTAAGGAACCAGCAAAAAAGCAGTTGCACAATACAATAACTTCATTACTAAGATCCATGACATCTTGGAAGTTGGAACACCCCCAGTCTTTTTTTCTTCTCTTATGGAAAGTACAAGTAAAACTACACTAATAAAATATTTTGAAGAACGAAGCTGCTAAATGTTTTACCAACGCAGAAGGACGACGCTATTGAGGATGCTAATATGTACAGATCAATGCTTTCTCCAACGTTTGATTGCATAACAAACTTCATAAGTCAAAAAATAGGGATAGCAAATAGCAGCATATTCCTCCAGCTTATTAGCCGTATGATTTTTGTCATAATTTATCTCCCTCTTTCTTGTGAACACTCCAAGATAGAGTTTAGAGAGAACATAATTGATATACATTCATATATACATTTATATAGTTTTTTTTTTGGTAAAGAACATTTATATAGTTTTTTTTTTGATGACCCGGGAACCGCCGTACAGCCGACAGCCGACGATGTAAACCCAGGGTGACGCTAGCGCAAGACCCACCACCACGGCGCCACACTTAATAGTTTTGATATAGAGGCATCTCAATAATTGTGAATTTTCGAGTATGAGTATGAATTTCTAATCTTCATTTGGAAGTACAATCATACTCCCTGCAATCGAGAAACAATATTCCAATTTAGCAAGTTACATGACATGTTTCCGCATGGCATTCGTGTCTTTATATTATAGTGATACATGACAAAAAAAAAATGCATAGCATGTTTGGTATAAGGGTTATTTGTTTTCAGTAGCCTTCAACTTATTACCCAACTTTTGTATCTCGACATCCCACCTAACACTTTTTTTTTCCATTTTTTTAGGTAAGAAGTAGCATTATTTTAAAACTGAGTCCATCACACATTGCTTTTTGTTGCTCTTTACTAAGAAACGGAAGGTTAATTGAATCTCCCAAGGATTTACATTTCTAAATAAATTCACGATTCACGAGCTCTGTAAAGTTGGACTCCTTGGAGTTTCTGGAAGGATAAATTGAAGAGTCCATCATCAAAGAGACCGGTGGACCATGTTGTTACAAACAGCAACGGATCAGCAGTACTTAGTTCAAAAATCGAATATGTCAGGATGTATTCATCTAAGCATTTAGAAAGAAAAAAATAGTTTCTCAATGACAGGAATTATCGCAGTACATTTCCGGATTCCTAAGATAGGTTTGTCATAAGTTGATTCGGTTTGATAATTCGGATGGAAGCACACCAAAGGAACTTCAGACAAATGGCCGAGAGAAAAGGGAGCCTCCTCCATGAGTAGTATATTCAAGGAAACCTGACCAACTTCAAACATCCTAAACTAGGCCATACCCCCAAGCCAATGCTTATAAAAAAGAAAAAAATCACAATGCTGCCCATTGGGGGGATTTCTGTCTAGACATATATCTCATATACTAATAAGCCATCCCAATCGTCACTGATTCAATCAAAATCAACTTCCCCCATACAAAGACACTTTCAAGCTGCAAGTTGCTGTAGGATACAGCTAACGGCTAACAGGGCCAAGCTATTATGCTCAAATTCCAAATCAAGAATCAAAAGAAGTAAAAAAGGAGGACATAGGAATACCCACCGTGGGTCTATAGTTCAATGTTAATACCCCCCATTCAGGGGCCAATCGTCAGATCACTTGTCCTCCTCTCAGCACAATCTACTTCATCCATCCACAGCCGATGCCTTCTTGCTTCAAGTTTATCTTGCAAGTATTCCTGACGAGATCGACCCATCCAAGATGTCAATTAATATGAATTCAAATTCCATAAAAATCCAAGCTAAAGTTAAAAACACACCTGAAAATCCGGACAAGAAAGCCCACGATTTCTCCAACATATGCAAAAAAAAAGGCCACTGATCAGCTGGGTTATCACCTTTTAAATTTGCCTCTCACGGAAAATCCCTTCAATTCAAAAATAAAGATACCCGCTACTAAGATTTGATCAAGGAAGAGCCAAAAGATCACATTTTTTTTTTCTGAAAGAGTTGAAATTAAATTTGGCCACTTCAGTAATGGGAACTTTTTTGGAAATTTCCATCGATGAAGGATCAGCCACTGCCCAGCCTACTACCACCGAAGGAAGGATCCCCATCCGCGAAAAAAAAAAACCGAGTCAAAGGGCTTGGACCTTCAAAGGAAATGTCAAAGGGGAGGGAAGTTGCGCTCCCAAGAAACAGCTGAGCTTGCTTTTATCAAGGACAGTTGCAGACGCTACTTACTGAATCTGGTGCAGCCACCAGTGCACGAAAGCAGCTGACTCCTAAACTCTCAACGACCACAACCTGGCCTTGTTCGCATCGGGGCTGGGGGGCGAGAGAGAGAGAGAGAGAGAGACGGGGCATGGAGGGGGGCGACGGGGGCCACGGTGGTGGTGGAGTGCGACGGTTGGTATGGCGGCTATAGAAGCGCCGCGAGGCATCATCGACCATGTCAGGGTATCGGTGCCTGCCGGGGGGCTCAATCGCATCGGAGGAGGAGACGCCAAAGCCTTGCCAAGAGAGAAAAGGGAAGCCCAAATCATCACGGACATAATTATTATTATCATTAAAAAAAATTAAGGGATGAGAAATTTGTCAAAATTTAATTAATTGTAAAAAAAAAGGACGAGAGACGGTGATCTTAAATCCAAATTGTGGGAGGGACGGTTTTTTTATTGAATTGGCACTTGCAGATGCAGTTGCAGTTGGAAGATACAAACGAGAGGTGAGGTTAGAGAGAGAGAGATGGTTATTTGCTGCTGCTTTCGTTTTGTTTCCCCTTCATCTTCATTTTAACACCCCCACCCCGACATTACAGGAATCCCAACACCAGAAAATTACATAACTATGGAAGGACAAACGAAGCCGCCTTTTTTTTTTATTATAAAAAAAACAATATTAAACTTATCAGCCTCGCCTCACTCACTCGGCCCCCCACAAGGTAGGAATCTAATCGTGGCCTGGTCAAGAGAGGACTCATCATGTTTCACTGTACGTGCTGCCTCTTCGAATGTCATTTGTTCTACGAGGCTCTCGACACCCAACTGCAAAGTGACCCGGGCGGTGGGGTCCCACTCAAACTCGGCCCACCAGCGTTTGTCCCCCTCGACCTCGAAGCTTCCCCTCGCGCTGCTCGAGTCCAACGGCAACTTTCTGAGACCAGGGCAGTCCTGTACGACGAAGCGTACCCTCTGGGGAAAGGATAGAGTCTGGTCGCAAATGCTCGTTAGCTTGGGAAGATTGACGAGATATAGGGATTCGAGACGTGAGAATAGTCCCGAAGCAGCTAATTCCTCCCTTGCAAATCCATCTCCAATGATTTTCTCCATCGAATCGCAGACTTCGACCCCCAGTTCCTGGAGCTTCGGAGCATGCACGAGTCAGGACAAGTCCGAAAGCCTGCACTCATAGACCCAAACTTCAACGAGATTGGGGAAGCAAAAGTAGTTTGGCGCTCGTCCTATTCCTTGAGTTATCTTCATCTCACTCAGCTCGGTACATAGAAGTAAATAAAGCGTCTCTAAATGCGAGAAACCGTTAGTACTTGCTGGTGAGTAATTTACTACGATGCTAGTCAAGTTACCATTCCTATTATCAATGCACGCCCTCCTTACGCGTCTCCGTAAATTTGGAGATTGGAATATTTTCTGAACAGAAGAAGACTCGCACACGCGGATAGATAAGTCGGTGAGATGTTGCATTCACTCTAGTTCCTCTATTGTCTCTTCTTCCTTCACTAAACAATATTCCCTCAAATATTCTTCAGACTCCCACCGGCTGAACACATTCAACGGTAAGCTTGTGATTGCCCCTGTCGGAATAAAGATGTTTCTTTCCAACATGTCGTCTAGTAGCAACCACCGTAAACGAGTCAAGTTCTTGATTTCTTTGGGTAATTCACTAATACCGGTGCCCGACAAGTTCAAGTACTGTAGATTAATCAGATTGCAAATCCCTTCGGGGAATGACTTGATATGTTTGTTGTTGGACAAGTTCAGGACCGCCAGACAAGTCGTCATCGAGTCGAAAAATCCACTTGGCAAGACAGTCACTCTTGTTTCCCTTACAAACAAAGTTTCAAGCTGGGAACACTTGGATGGTATTTGGTCGATATTCCGAATCCATTTTCCCCATATAGATACTTTCTTTGCTTCCCCCCATTTGGAGATCATCTCCTCGGACATGTCTTCGTCTTTCTCTATCACTAGCAACTTGTTCTCCCTTTGCCCACAATCACGAGCGATCCAGGTTGCCATGTCGCGGATGACATCGTGCATCTTCACGTACCGTCGGTCATCATCACGCCCACTTTCCAAAAGACAAGCCCTATTTAAATCCCCCAAGACGGACTCTCCCTCGTCCCGCATACTGTTTACATCATTGGTGTCTCGTAGCAAGCCCTCTCCAATCCAGAGTTCAATAAGCTCGTTCGTATTTATAGGGTAATCCTCAGGGAAGAGACAACAGTAAAGGAAGCAAGCCTGTCGAGTAAAGTCATCTAAGCTATTATAACTGAACTCTAGTATGTGGTATACTTCCTCCACCATACCTTGCAGCTTGTGCGGTCTGTTCCTCAGCGTTGTTAGTGCATGCCTCCACTCACCAGGACTATCTTTTCTGGCCATGGCTCGTCCGACAGTAATAAGGGCTAGTGGCAACCCTTTGCACTCTTCGGCAATGTTTTTTGCAAGGTCTCGAATTTCTTGATGACAATCTACTAGCGATTTGCCGACGTTCTTCTCGAATAATTCTAGAGCTTCTTTGGGCATCAAGCACTGTACTTCCAAGGTTTTGTCCGCTCCCATGTGGTCGCATACATGCTTCAACCGAGTTGTGAGCACTACTTTGGATCCGTTCTCGAGACCAGGACAAGGAACTCCGATTTTGGAAAGGTTCAGCCTCGCCCATAGATCATCAAGCAACAATACAAACTTCTTCCGGGTCAAAGCTTGGCCCAGATGATAGACCCTCTCTTCCCAGGACCATCCTTCCCAATGCTCATCTTTAATGCCCAGCCTTCTCCTTATGGTGTCTTGAATTCTATCTTGATTCACCGGCCTGGACACCACCACCCAAATAACAACATCCAATCCGTTATTTGCACGCGAAATCTCCTTCTCGATCCTTCTCATGAGGGTGGTCTTTCCAACACCGCCCGTTCCGTACAACCCAATCACTCCTACTTGTTTTTCGTCCACTACCCATTTCCACACTTTATTAAACTTGGAAATGTCAAGCCCCACGGTCTCGTCCATAGGCATCTCGAGCACCGGAGGAGGAGGCAACTCCGAATTCTAATTCCTTAGCTTGGAGCTCTCTCACTGCTTTGAGCATTTGATCGACTCTTTTCCCCAATTTATAACTCGACCAGCAGTTCGGTGGAAGACAACGACTGAGACATTTAATTTGATCACATTCCCCGGCTTCTCCAAGAATTTCATCTACTCGACCAACAAGTTCTTGCACCGTGTCTAACCAGTTCGCCACTTCTTCTGTGCGCTGCACACCTCCTCCTTCACGTTCCACCGTTTCCCGCACATCTTTGCTCTTGGCCTTCAGCTGGTTAGTTGTGTTCCGCAACGAGTTGACATTATCTTTCAGATTACAAACGTAGCCCAAAGGTCTACTGGCCAAGCCCCATAAATTGTTGACGAGATGTAAAAGAGAATTTGCGAAATCCATAAATTCTTTCCGAGATAAGAGATCAAAAAATGGACTACGCAGATGGTTGGAAAGACGGGCAGATGGGTGGTGTTCGATTAAGCTGCCGTTATAGACTCAATCATACAGGCCCAAGTAATGGCCGACAAAGAGTACAATGATACAAGCCGAAATGGCAGACATGAGTAAAAGCAAAGCGGAAAGTAGCAAATAGTAGAAAACACAACCCAGTGGGCTGAATTATTGCGCATGCTGACAAACAACTTTTTAGAATGACGGATTATGAAAGTAGAGTGGTGTACGTGGTATAGAAAGTGTGCAGCCCTTTACTTATATTCACATCTATATAAATATATTATTACAGACTCCCACAAAACTCTCTAATTTGTTATATGCATACTCGAGGTTTGAATAGACCGTAACTACCGGGCAAGAAACCACTAATCCTTGCTTATGAGGAATTTTAGGATAATATTAAGGGTTAATACCACGAAAAATCCTAAACTGGTACACTTGCGACACATTTACCCCAAACTATTTTTTTTACCATAAAAAACCTCAAACTGGTACACCTGTGACAATTTTACCCTCAACTATTTTTTTGACCACCAAAAACCCCAAACTGGTACACCTGTGATAATTTTACCCTAAACTTACCACAAAAAACTCCAAACTGGTACATATGTGACAATTTTACCCTGAATTAAAATTTTAATATTATTTTTTATTTTTTTCGAATTTTTATTTATTTTTTATTCTTTTCTTTTCTTTTTTTTTTCATCTTCAAACCCTGGTCGGTCGCCGGACCGGCGACCGGCCATGTCACGCCCCGAACCCCGCGGGCGCACGACATCCCGCTACGGTCGTTAAAATGCGACGTCCCAGGACCCGTCACTGACCCTTCATTTTATCCTTTAGTACGCATGCGGAAGCGAACACAACAATTCCCGGACAACAATAATAAACAGGGATAGCATAGGAAAACCAGACATAACAAAAGCCATTTTAATATTCACTTGATTAACCCCTGGGAACATACTTACAGGCCCACTCCGGGCGTTTCCACAAAAACCAGCAAAAGACAAAGGTTAGGGTTAATCTACTCCATCCAAAAGATCAGCTTTCAGGCCTAACCCTCAAAGATCAACCAAAAACTGCGGTACTCCAAACCGCATAAGAAGCAACGACAAGCTAAGGTCCTGAAAAAGGTTTAACAACAACAAATGAGATAAAATCTCAATAAGTTAACGGCCTAAGCCCCGCTTAGGAGGCCAACTCGCACGGGGTCCCTAAACAGCGAAACGGCAACAACAACATCATTAACAACCACAGGCATCCTCACCTCGCCTTGGTACACACGTTGATGAAATGCATATGTCACATACTCGAAGCATTTAACGAGATTTTCCATGCATTAATGCAACATAGTCGCGCGTGTCTCGATTATAAGGCAAAACCCGCTTGGGCACGTCCCATACCATGCCTAGCAGTTTCTACCCCATAATCAAGCACTATGCATCACACGTATTCCAATTATTACGCCCCTGGGCCACCACACATCAAGCGATACGCAAGCAAGATGGCGGTCTACCGGTAAAAATCGGGCTCCGTCCCGCCCGTCGGGCACGGCTACGTCAAACGATACACGGGATGACGGCATTCCAATACGGCAACATCAAACGATACACGTAAGATGGTATCCCGTAAGGAGCATCGAGTCCGGCCTCGGGCGCGACAAGGCATCCGGGGTATCGGCACTCAGTTATCCCCGGGCATCCGATAAATCGGGCAACGTCAAGCGATACACGAAGACGGCTTTAACGTGTGACCACACGAGCACACAAGCATACCGGCCAATTATTATCTTTTCAATTAGCCCATGCGTCC